AGAAGTTGTAAATTTTAATTAAATATGTGGGCCTTTTATGTCGTGCAGGCCTTATCATTATTTTGTAGGATGAGGAGGCTTTGAGAAAATAAAATTCGCTCTAAGCTTCATGTCATTATGTAGGATCGATACGAACCAAAATTAAATTCTGAACACAATTCTGACGCAGCCTCTCAATAATAAATTATTTCGAAATCCGTTTATTAGTCTGAGGGATGAAACACAAGGAGAGCTGTAACCTCCCCATTATGAATTCCTTTATTACACTTTACGCAAAGAACGTATAAAAATCGCGTAAATAAATAATTCCATATTTAGCTTCAAACCCGCGTACCGCAATACAAAAACCGCCGTTTGCAGTTACCAGCATCGGTAAGTGGTTACGAAAATAGCATTTTAATCTAAAAAGAAATAGCAGTTTGCCGTTACCAGCATCGGTGTTACAAAAATAGCATTTTATTCTAAAAAGAAATAGCAGTTTGCCGTTACCAGCATCGGTAAGCGGTTACAAAAATAGCATTTTATTCTCAAAAGAAATAGCAGTTTGCCGTTACCGGCATCGGTAAGTGGTTACGAAAATTGCATTTTAATCTGAAAAGAAACAGCAGTTTGCCGTTACCAGTATTGGTAAGTGGTTACGAAAATAGCATTTTAATCTGAAAAGAAAAACATTAAACATACACATCCAATTTGCGCTTCAAACATCCGATCGGTCATCGGCGGCGAAGCTTCTACACATTTTTACCACTGACACATACGCGATTTCTCGCCGAACAGACGCTTTCATTTGGTTGTGCGGAAATCATAAAAGTTTATTTTCCGTACCTTCCTGAGTCCCGCTGTCAATGTTCGCCGTGTTTAAACATTCAATTTAAAGAACTGCCAAGTGACAATTATTTAAATTGATTCTTAAAATTACAGACCCAAATTCTCAGGATAGCTCAGTCGGTATAGGGACTGGCTACGGGCTTGACGACCGAGGGGTCGGAGTCCCAGTAGGGAAGACAATTTTCTCTTCTCAACGTCGTTCAGACCGGCTCTGAGGTTCAGCCAACCCCGGATCCATTGGGTACCGGGGGCGCTTTCCCGGGGATAAAGCGGCCGGGGCGTGAAGATGACCACTTAACCTCCAACTAGTGTCGATGTCAAGAAAATGTGGATCTATACATCCATTCTCCCATACGCCTTCGTGGGGTAGTGCTTTATTAGTTAAGCAAAGGGACTTTACATTTTTATTACAGAAAGGAGTTGTCAGCCCACAAACCACCATCTGGCTGGAGGAGCGCCAGTTGTTGGCTGTCCGCGACGTATCATTTCATATACGGTATTCGCAATTCGCCTTCATACCTGAAGTTCCACGAGCAACCTGGGGACGCGGCATGCCGTGAGGGCAGCTGAATATGGCCAGCTTCAGAAACGTGAGTACCGCACCGCCCCATTTTAAGGTGACGTTCCTTTTCAAATGCTGTTTCTTAGAAATGCTTTACTTTCGGGGGCTTGACAATAAATATGAAGAGTCTATTATTTCTTAATGCCACAGTTTTTTGATTTCTTTGTAAGAAAACTTTTCCCCTATTTTCGCATTCGAAAAATTGGGGGTAACTTTATGTTCGGGTTTATACGCTGTTTCGCATAGGCCATTTTGCAGTTCTGACTGCGTTCTACGTGGGCTCCGTGAACCGGACAATTTACGTTCAGAGAGTGGACACACCACACCTCAACTACAACAGCCTATTACCGTACGAGTGTGAACATTTCGCGCATCATAACGTGCAGAATCTACAGTTCATATAAACGCGAGTCTCAACTTAACGACACTCCAACAAATCACGGATTTACGATTTTCAGTGCAGTACGTCCCACATATTTTTGTGTGATACATATCAAACGATACCAGCAAAAAGAGTCAGAACCAGTAACGTATGGTGACTGTGCTGGCGAGACCCAGCGGCAATTACCAATTACGCTGATTTCCTCTCTGCAGTAAAACGAATTATGTGTAAATGAAAACAGAATAGCAAACTAAACAGACTGCATTAATGTTAATTTTTAGGCAGACTGTACTGGACTGACCTTGGCCTTGGCCGGAATATCTGTTTCTGCATATCTAATTGAAGCGAGTTTAAATAAACAACATCTCTCAAACGAATTCGTTAACGAACTGTTCAAGTACGCTAAAGACACATACATTTAGGAATGCCTTCATATTTATCTCTTGAAAAGGCTGCACTTCACAAACATGTTTTCCTCTGCAGCTTATCATACTTTGCTCTCAGACACTCACTGCCATTCTAGTGCCTTGCCGTATGAGATATTGCCTTTCTTGCAAAAAGCACCTCAGAGACGTCGCGTGACCGTACTGCGTGATCAGTCCTTGACATGGATTGGAATGTACTTAACGACGCGCTGTTTACATATATTCAACTTCGGAAAAACGGCCCCTTTTTTAGCCATAGCTTTGCTTGGAACATTCTGACAGATTCCATCCGGTTTTCACTCCTTTGGATTTGACAATAATATTTTTAGAATAAACAAAGGTATAATTTTGCCCGTGGTTCTGTATGGGTGTGACACTTCGTCTCTGACATTAAGGGAGGAACACAGACTGAGGTTGTTTGAGAAAAGGGTGTTGAGAATATTTGGACCTAAGAGAAATGAAGTGAAGGGAGGTTGGAGAAAACTGCATAACGAGGAGCTTCATAACTCGTACTCTTGTCCAAATATAATTAGAATGATCAAGTCAAGGATGATGAGATTGACAGTGCATGTAACACGGATGGGGGAGAAGAATGCATATAGGATATTGGTGGGAAAGCCACAAGGAAATAAACCACTAGGAAGACCAAGACATAGGTAAGTGGATAATATTAAAAGCGATCTTAGAGATATAGAATGTGATGGTGTGGATTGGACCGATGAGACTCAGGATAGGGCCAGTGGAGGGTTTCTTCTGAACACGGTAATGAATCTCCGAGTTCCATAAAATGCTGGGAAGTTCTTGAATTTTTTTACAGAGCAAGGTCGTCAGCCCTGCGTCCAACACCGCCAACAACCAAACCCGGAAGACCAGGTCCCTGCATTTATGTCCCCCAGTGACAGGACTGTCCAGTTATACCCCCAGGCATCTGGTTCCTTTTCGTCGCCGCCTATGACTGCGTAGGGCTATGGTGGAGGTATCCTAAACCGCCTCCACGCGGGATTTTACGTATATTGACTATGATGACATGCTTTTGCATTGCTATGATTGTTGACTCTAACATAATATTGTGCTGGACACTGTCCTTATCTTAATTAAATTTAAAACTATACGACATTCTGCAAGCTGTTCTGCTTCCGTCATCAGGTATGAAATGGCAAACGATTCTGTTCACTTCGGCCCTTTAGACAGAGCTAGTCTCTCGTAGGCTCTGTCAAGGCCAATCAACTGAACTGGGTCCTTTCGCTATACATGATGAAGGAAGCAGATCCAGCTTCCGAAACGTCATATAATTTTAATCTTGACTATGCCAGTGGTCTATGCCCAACATAATTTTATAATTCAACCTTCAAAGATCATTTGACGCAAAATAAGTTAGCCCATTCTCGGCCTGTAGGGGCTTACAGCCATTTAACCGCGGCTGTAATTCTGCCTAGCGTAAACTAACACTCAACGACTGTGCCATGTCATATATGTAATGTTACAAAGATCTATTCATGTGCTCCAAATATACAAATCTAACCGCCTCTGTGGTCTAGTGGTCAGCGTTCTTGGCTACAGATCCGGAGGTCTGGGTTCGATTACCGGCTCTACCAGATTTCTCCTGAGAAGTAGTGGGTCTGGAACGGGATCCACTCAGTCTCGTGATGATAACTGAGGAGCTATTTCAAGGAAATAGCGGCCGTGGTGATTCGTTGCGCTGATCGCGCGATACCCTCTATCCGCAAAAGTTGGCACTAAACTTCGCCGACAAGCGGCGGTCGCTCGGTCGGTATAGTTCGCTTGCGGACTAAAATCAAGGTGTTTTTTATGGTAAATGGTAGATACGTTATCATTTTGCTCAACTAATTCAGCACCAAACAGTGAAGACGTATGGGGAGTACAGCTCCATTTCTTGCCTCGACAACATTAACAGGGGTGAGTGATGTGCTTCATAACGCCAGCAAAACAGCCATCAGTACCCCCAAGGGATCGAGGTTCGATTTCGGGCATGCTTTTAGTCGCTATACGGGGCCGAAGGATGGTATGGGGTCGCATAGATGTGCACTGATGCCAACTGGTGCTGTGAAATGCCCTGCTGGGAAGCAGGCTCTGTCAGCAAATCTGAACTTTCTAGCCCCAAGAGGTGACCCTGGGTGTAGAAGATAGGAGGAAAGTGATGGGGGAGTGTCTGGCGCCCTACAACGGGACTATTCGCCTCGGAGAGTGAATCCTGACAGAGAATTCGGGGTCCTACAGTAAGTTAGTTGGGTTTGACACTCAAACCCTCATCCTGTCAAAATCTTTTGATGTCGAGGATCTGAACAAGACAATAGCCTGGCGCCTTACTGTACGACTACTTAAAGCAACGAGCTGGAGAGGAAGGGCTATGGAACAAGAGGACATGGACGAGGGTCATGGAAACGATCGCGGTGCAAACTGGGCTGCAGAGCCATTAACAGTAGTAGTAGTAGTAGTAGTAGTAGTAGTAGTAGTAGTAGTAGTAGTAGTAGTAGCGTAGTAGCGCTAGTAGTGGTGGTGGTGGTGGTGGTAGCCGCTATACAGAAAATTAATACAACATGACGTGCTACTGTCGAAATACTCTCCCTTTAAAGCACTGAGTTTATTGTAAATCTACTCTGCCATTAAAAAGTTGCTTTTTGCCCCCAAAGTGTACTTCTCGGTTTCGTATGACTCAGAATAAACCGCGATTATGTCCCTACACCGCATTGCAACGGAGAGACAGTGCGTTTCCAGGGTTTCTACCTTAATACACAAATCACACACATTTCCAGAGTAACACAATAAATTAAAATAGGCGATCTTACCGTGATCTGTCTGAGAAGAATTCAAATTTGGATTTCTTCTTGGCACCGTTTCCAGAGCCACTATGGACGGGGGAAACACTTGGCTCGCTGGATCCCGACGCAGGTGGCGACGAGGACCCAGTGGAAGATGACAGTGACCCAGTGCGACCCCTGACCTCGCCGGCAGCAGAAATCAGCTGGGCTTCCGTCCCCGCTTTCACCCCGTTGTTCTGCTGCCCTTGAACGTTGTTACTGTTTGGGTGGTACGCCGGGTGGGCGGACAGAGCCAGTGTTGGTCTTGTATTCTGTCGATTGCGGCGTTTCTTCTTCTTGTTAGCATCTGCATTATCTTCTGCACGGCCTCCGAAACCGACATTTGATGGAGGAGGCGGCATCCAATCCAAATCTTTCTTCAGATGGCCCCGGCCACAGCGACAACCACAAGCTTTGAATGCGAGATCGTAACCCTTCTTGGTCCACAGGTTTTGATGGCGCTGTCTCTCGGACCAAGACCTTGCACGGCCACAAGATTTCAAATAGGTTAGGACCGTTTGCTCCCAAGCATCGAAGCACTCCCTGTGCATGTACTGCCCAACATTACAGTGGTCATTATTGCAGGTCACTTTGACCGCGTCTCTCAGATCATCCAAGTTAATCATATCTGCGTTTGTATTGTTATTGTTGCTACCGGGACTGCCATAATTAGCACGCAAACACTCACCAGTTGGTACACAGCAGCGCGTCAAGTTAGCGTCATGATTCTCGATGGTTTCAGGATCGATACCAAAACCTTGAACTTCATTCCCGTTCCCGCCGGCGCCAGCTGCTCCAGCAGCGCCACCATGGCCCCCATGGCCAGCTCCACCATGACCACCGTGATGGTTTCGTCGAGGTGCCATTATCACCTGATTCTTCAAATTCAACGTACGCACAATCAAAATAGTTATCTAACTACTTTAAATTTTAAACATCACTAAGAAAATATTCGTCAATGAAAAATAATGTATTGTCAATAATGGCTGATTCAGTATTGAAAGTTTTTTAACGGCTGAGCAACTATCATTAACAATAACGTACCTCCGGTATGTCTGTAACTTCGTTTGTTATTGCTTGAAACTGTTCAAATGACAAGCAAACCAGCGAAATCTTAAACTACATTCGTTCACCTATGAAATGGTTCATTGACATTAATAAAATATAACACCAGATGTTATCTTAAAGAGTGAACACAGCGACACTTCGTCTTCACACGTATACTTCAATCACACGCGAAAAATGTTCCAACAGTTCTCTACTGTACTTCACCAACAAAGGCTTCCAAAATACTGCAGAACTTAACCTTGACTCCCAATCACATACTATTCAAAACTGTACGATATCGATACGATAAATGACCATAAAGTGTACCTTACCACACAGTTATATAACTTGAATCCATGCAGATAAATTCGACACTTTCCAAACTCGCATTAGTTAGTGTGTTTACTTTCTTTACACTGTACAGAACCCTAGCAATCTCTTGCTACAGGTCATGTTTTCGTTTCTTACCCTAAGCTGAATAAAAAGGAACAATATAAATGGCTTGCATTCAGTTCTAACAATATTATAGTTTTATAACTGTGAAATAAACCTCCACCACAACGAAAACTTCAAAATAACGAGGAAACTGTTAAGAGCATTAACTTCCACACTTCTCTACCAGCCGGCTTCTAACCTACAACCAACGAACTCAGCCGCGTCCCGGCATAACACTTCACTGTCGGCGCGCGCAACGAAGAGGCCTGCGCGAAACGAGCGCTGTTATTGGTCCGTTTCGAAGGTGGGGAGAAACAAGACCGTAACAAACTTGTCACGTGCTTAACCTAGAAAATTACTGGCCTTAAAACTTCCCTTTCAGTTTCAATAGCATCTACAGCCAACAGCAGTAAGAAATAGCTGCAGAGTAATTTATATTTGAAGTGTGATTCACTGAAGAAAATGAAAGTGTATGTATGCGCGCTGGATTACAAATTTGTTTACAAATATGGCCGTTAATTCAAACCGCGATAATCAACTACCGAAGTGAGATTAATGTTCTGATGGAGGTATCAAGATTACGGTTGTCTGGGATGGGACTCCGTGTGGTTTGGAAGATGGGAAGATTTCGGAGGAATATACTGCTTCCATCTTCAGTATAGAGGGTTGTAAGATGGAGAACATTTTCGTACGAAACGTTAGTGCCTATCTATCATATTGAATGGGATTAAATCTCAGAAGTCTACCGGTAATGTTTCCTGTTACCAAGCTAATTTACTGACGAAGGTTCTTATGGAACTGACCAAATTGCACGACTAGGAATTTCGCCAAATTTAGTTAAGGTGATCAAGTCAAGGAGGATGAGATGGGCAGGGCATGTAGCAAGTATGGAGAAAAGCGAAATTCATATGGGAGCTTGGTGGGGAAGCCAGAAGGAAAGAGACCACTAGCAAGACCTAGACTTAGGTAGGATGGCAATATTAGAATTGATCTTAGAGGGATCGGATGGGGTGATATGAACTGGACTGATCTGCCTATGGATAGGGACTAGTGTCGGGGTTTTGTGAACACGGCAATGAGCCTTAGAGTTCCGTAAATTGTTGGGAAATTCTTGAGTAGCTGAGCAACTGGTGGCTTTGCAAGGACTCAACGGAATTAGTGTAGTTAGTTATGGCAGTGACTCTGAAGAGTAGACACTCTGGCTTCCAGGACATGACGCTGCGCAGCCTGGTAAAAACTTTCCGACGTTTCGGAGGAATGTATTGCCTCCGTGGGTCGAAGAGTATTAAAAACAACACCCAAGCAGCAAGCTGTTCCTAAGAAACGTTGGTAAACTTCTACCAGACTACATGGCGTCACTATCCGTAAGATAATACTCTTGCTATTCAATATTTGTTTCGATTTGCGGACTGAACAAATTTCCCACATAGGTCTCACAGAGTAGGTTACTTCTGTTTCAATACATCGACGAGCCAAAGCGGACGACCCTTGAGAGCTGGAGCCGTAATTACAAACCACGAAACTACGTGTGTAGATATCTACACTTAGGTCCAGGGTCCAGGTACGGATTTATTGCGGGGGTGGGGTGTCGCCCCGGTGTCCCCACGAGAGAGAAACAGAACTCACAGGTTTTACCGAGATATCTGCTTATTATTATTATTATTTCTTACAATACCTAAAACTAAAAACTAACATTTTTGTTTTTAGGTATTGTAAGAAATAATAATAAGATAAAATAAGTGATGTAGCCTAAATTTGTTGTTGCTGACAGGGGCCTCCATATTTTGATTGCTCCTTGGCAAATCAAACCCTGCACAGGTCTATGCTGTTTGCCTATAAAAAGGAGCTCACTGTAGGTTTTACGACTCTGACTTTACTTCAAACGTTTCTTCGGTTGTTGCCCAGAGAGACGAAGTTCGCTAAGTTGTAATGTTTCCGAGTGCATTCCCGGTTAAAATCTCGGCCAGAATACCAACTATCCTTGCCGAGTCTTTCAGTGGTATTCCTCAGTCCGTCCAGGAAAATACACCAAACAGACCACGACGGCTTACTTTGATATCCTTTCTTATTGTTCACTCTTATCCTGAATTTGATTGTTACGTAGTCTGAACTATTGTGGTGTTATTAAATAAAATACGAATATGATAAATAAATAAAAATAAAGGTAAAATTGTCCCTGTGCTTAACTAAGCACTACGCAATGAAGGCGTATGTGGGAGATGTATAGACCCACGTTTTCTTGACCTTGGCACTAATTGGGGGTGAGTGGTCAGCTTCACGTTCCGGCTGCGTTAGCCCCGGGGAAAGAGCCACGGGTATCCATTGGATTGGAAGCAGGGTGGGCCCCAGAACCGGTGTCGACGACATGGAGAAGTGAAAATTCTTGGCCCTACCGAGACTCGAACTCCGACCCCTCGGTCGTCCAGCCCGTAAAAATCACTATACTTACCGTGCTATCCTGGATCTCAATACATATGTAAATAAATAATATAATAATAGTAAATAATATATAAATTTCAGAATGAAAAGAATGTTTGATCATAGCCGATTTCAACTGGCCATTTGGAATCAAGAAGCAGTGTCATAACTCATGCTAAAAATTGGAAAAAAATTAAGTTTGAACACAAATTTAGACTTGTTATTAATCGTTGGAAAGTGATAACAATTTTATGATTGTATTTCTTATCATTGATCTTATGACCTTTAAAATGACGTTTTCCTTATTTTAATTTTTAAATGGTTTATTTAATATTGTCACGTAATGTGTGTGACTATAGACGGGGTTTGGATTGATGAATGGATTTANCCCCTCGGTCGTCCAGCCCGTAAAAATCACTATACTTACCGTGCTATCCTGGATCTCAATACATATGTAAATAAATAATATAATAATAGTAAATAATATATAAATTTCAGAATGAAAAGAATGTTTGATCATAGCCGATTTCAACTGGCCATTTGGAATCAAGAAGCAGTGTCATAACTCATGCTAAAAATTGGAAAAAAATTAAGTTTGAACACAAATTTAGACTTGTTATTAATCGTTGGAAAGTGATAACAATTTTATGATTGTATTTCTTATCATTGATCTTATGACCTTTAAAATGACGTTTTCCTTATTTTAATTTTTAAATGGTTTATTTAATATTGTCACGTAATGTGTGTGACTATAGACGGGGTTTGGATTGATGAATGGATTTATTGATCACTTACAGGTTGTACTACAAATAACTATAACAGTATCGCTATTTCCAGAATTTACAGTTCTCCGTTGTATAAACTAGTTCCTTCAGTCTATTACAATCTCCACTGGCCGTTTCCAGGCAATAGTTTTAACACAGGAAATATAAGTCTCACCGATTTACACATTCCAGATATAACACATAAAGTCTTCTCTTCACAGTCGGACTTTCAACTGAGCACTCTTGCAAATAACTATTTTCTTCGCAGCCCCCGTACAGAATTGTTCTAACCTTGTCCCTTGCTTATAACATCTCGGTACGGATCACATAGAAAACACAGCTCTTCTATTGCTGCTTTCATGTCTGTTGCTGCGGGAATGTGTTTACCGATCGGTTGCCCAGAAACGGCCCTGATATATCAGCCCATCTTGCGGTCGTTGCATAGCAATGGCTATACACGCTCTCTCTCTCTCTCTTTTCCTGCTGCTCCAGCTTTAGAGCACAGAGCATCCGTCAAACACTTTGCTTTACTTCAGTTTCTTAAGCCTAGACAGTCGGTAGGACCCTTTGGAAGGGGGATCAGCATGTTGCAGGGTGACTACCTACACAGGACAACACAAACAAAGAATAAACACAGACAAACATCCATGCCCCGAGCGGGATTCAAACCCACGATCACAGTGTTCGAGTGAGCGAAGACGGTTCTATACACGCTACAATATTTATGCTGATTTTATTTGTGTAATTTTAATAAGTTATTTTATTCCCATTCTGTTTTAATCTTTTCTTGAATTCTGCAAAACATAGGTCTAATGTATTCACTGTAACATATGAAGCACAGCTCCCTGCAATAAAGAATTAGGCTTACCAATATATTTCTAAGAACTATTTGTAGGAAAAGTGTTCCAGCAAATAGGCCGTCTTAAATTTTACCCGACAGAACATCGACTTGCCCTTCCGTCCTCATGTCTGCAATTGCTACAACGTCACTGAGAATGGCGTATTGATTAACGGCGTGCGGGCTGTGAGAGAGAGAGACTCTTATGACACACTACTTTAAGGTATAAACCCTTATCCTACTCTTCTTCAAGTATAATTAGCATGATCAAGTCAAGGAGGATGAGGTGAGCAGGGCATTTAGCACGAATGGGGGAGAAGAGGAATGCATATAGGATATTGGTGGGAAAGCCAGAAGGAGAGAGTCCACTGGGAAGACCAAGGGGTAGGTGGGTGGACAATTTTAAAATGGATCTTAGAGTGATATGATGGGGTGGATTGGATTGATCTGGCTAAGGGACCAGTGGAGGGCTCTTGTGAACACGGTAATTAACCTTTAGGTTCCATAAAATGTTGGTAAAATCTTGAATAGCTGTAGATTTGACTTCTCCTCAAGAAGGGTTCAACTCCATAAGTGAGTAAGTAAGTAAACACTTATCCTGAAATGATTCTATATTACGTATAACAAGTTTGCTGTACTGACTGTCGGAAGGTTGAGATACTTTGAGCTTTGTCTTGGAATCGAGTGCATTTTACTTAAATGTTTGAGCGGTCGCCTCACGGCCCTTTCCTGACACAACATTACAATCACTTAAGTTTCATCTTCCGTTGGATTTGCCTCTATAAGAAATGCACTTCACAGAAATATATACTCAATAGTAAACAATAAAGTAGAGCCTGTACTTAACAACAATAACATTATTATCGTGATCGTCACTGTGAACTAGAAGATTCTACGAGACTTGTCTATTCTATCGTGAATAAGGTCACCTGGGTTCCCTTCTTTTAATTTTCAACAATAATAGTTTTACAGAACAAGGTCGTCAGCCTTGCGTCCAACGCCCGTCCTGGAGGGCCAGGTCTCTGTATTTATGTCCCCCCAGTAGCAGGGTGGCCCAGTTATAGCCCCGTGTTCCATTTTCATCCCCTTCTGCGACTCGCAGAGGTACGCTGGAGGTATTCTAACCCACCTCCCCACGAGATGAAACAATACAATACGGCCTATATACG